CCTCTGTTTACAATATGAGTTTTACACTGAAAATATTCAATATGTTTTTAAATACTCGAAAGTATTACAAGCAGCTAAACAAATTATTAAAACCATTAATCAGACTCTCCATCCAGACAATAATCACAAACCAATCTCACACATGTGGCAAGTCGTCGAATTGTCATATGGAGTTATAGACAAAATCTTTTTCACCTCAACCTCTATCAACTGGATTAAGACAGCAACAGATTTTTTAACTTTGTTATGTGATCTAATTTGAAAACCACATTGCTTCACAGCCAACACCTCACCCCTTACTGGAATTAAGTAGAACCATACCAAGCTATATAATTTAATCAACTTCATCAAATCAGAAACTAAAAAAACCTCACAAATCAAAGACAACTCCAATAACTCACAAAACAATACTATTATTGACTTACTCTCTACTGTCACTAACTCATTTATCCAATCTAAATATAATTATTCCAAATATATTTATAGTTTAACAACTCTATTTACTAATTTCAACTCTATTTTTTCTGATACTGAGTAGGTATTCATAGCTGCTCAGTGTTATCCGATAAGTTATATTGTTTTAAACTTTCTTTTCAATATTAGTTGTATAGTTACTGTAGGCAAGCTAGCATTTAACTTATTGTACCAACACATGAGAGATGTTGTTTTTTTCATAATGTATACTATGTTATATACAAATCAAATAAAAAATGATATTTACCTACTTAATATATATATATATATATATATATTTATAACATTTAAAATTTTTTAATTAAAAAATTACTTTCTATTTATTTTTTTTAAATAATCAAAATATTTTTTGAAAATTTATATAATATTAATTTTAACTATATATTATTTATTGATAGTATTTATTTTTAATTTATTTAATAAAAATTTAAAGTTAAATTATAAACAAAATTTTTAATTTTTAAAATAATTTTTTTAAATATAAGGTATTATAGTTTTAGACAAACTTAAAAATTTTTAAGTTAAAGTTTATATAATTTATAAGTAGTTTTATAGAATTATTTGTAAATAATAACTTCAATTATTATGATTTTGATAATTTAATTATAAAATTTTAACTTGTATTAGAAGTAAAATAATTTTTTTACTTTAAATATATATTAAATTTTATATATTAAAATTTTAAACAAAAAAAACTCTATCTTAATCATATCTATTTTGTTAAAAATTTTTCTTTTATAATAATTTTAAGCAAGAAAAAATAGTTTATATTCTTTATTACAAGTAAGCACCAGTTCAAGAACTCAAGAATCTTTAAAACAACTGGTATAATGGAATGAAATCTCTGATTAAAATTTATTCAAGTATGGAAATTTTGCTTATTTTTCAGTTATATAAAAAAAGACTTATAGTAGTTCTCTTTTTTTTTGTTCTTTTGTACATATCCTTACTTTTATTATATTATAAAAACCATCTATATCCATATTATTATACTTTCTAAATAAAATATCTTTCAAAAAATATATTCAAATAAAGTTATTAAATCTAATGTTTGTTTTAAGTCAATTTTTACATATAATATTACTATAGCAATATCTATTGTATTATTTTAAAATTTTCAAAAATTCTTATTTAAAAAACTGAAATTAGTTTATTCTCTTCAGATAATTATCACCTAATCGAATTTTATTAAAACAACAAAGCAAAAACCAAATCTGTTTAAACTGATTTTTTAGTACAATAACAATAACAACAACAATAACTTCAAACAATATTAACTATATTATAATTTCTTTGTTATTAAAATATATGCCAACAATTGAAAAATTTAATAAACTTTGATTACTATAGTTAGACAGGGATTTACTTTAAAAATATGATCTTTATTATTAAAAATCTTATTGTTTACTTGATTTAGATTTAGCTCTAGTTATTTTATTGTTGTATATATTTTCATTTATTGTTTTTTCATTTATATTTTATTTTCAAAATTTAAAAAATTTTACAAAATTTATCAAATAGGTAGGCATAGTCACTACTTCTTTATCTTTAATATTGTTTTTAAAATTTTTTCAATATTAATTAGATATTATAAAATAGACAAGCTAGCATTTAACTTTCTATATTTTGTAAATAAAAGGTGTTGTTTTTTTTACAATATATAGTATATCTTGATATATGTAAATTAAATAAAGAAATAATGTTTATCTACTGGAAAAAACCTACAAAAAATATTTTTGAATTTTAAACACAAAGTTTAAAGTTATTTATTTTAAAATTTTTGAATAAAATTTTAATTTTTTACTTAATAAAATTAATTAAAAATATTTTAAATTATATTTTTTATAATATAAATAAATTATAAAAATTAATATTTAAAATTTTAAATATATAGACAAATTTATTTATATAATAAATAAGAAATAATATTTTTTATTTGAACAAATTTAAAAAAACAATTAAATATTTTTAATTAATAAAAAAAAAAAAAAACTATTTTAACAAATATAAATTTTAGTTTAAATTTAAATAATTCTTTTAATATTGTTATTTAAACTTCTAGAAATCTTTTAATGTTTTTTACAATAGAATAAATTTTTAAAAAAATTAGTTTTTTAAAACCAAATAGTTTTATTTATTTATTTTTTTTAAAAAATATATTTATATAATATATTATTATATAAATTAATATATTTTGAAATACAAATATTAATTATATAATATTTTTTTTATTCAATTAATAAAAATTATAAAAAATATATTATTTAATATATTAAAAAATATTTTAAAATAAAAGTTAAAAATCAAAAATATAAATTGAAAAATAAAATTATTAGTTACAAATAATAAGAATTTAAATAAAAATCATCAAGTTAAGTATATTTAGTAAAGATTTATAAGATTAAATTGGAATTTAAACAAAAACATCAGTTCTACAGGTGGTGAAAATAATAATAATATATTATATTAGTAATATATCTTAAGGATCAGTAATAATAGATAATTGAAATCATTAGAATTAATATTTATAATAATATTATATATATTTTTTTCTTAATAAACAATTGAAAAATATAATTAAATCAATAGAAAGATAGGTTTAAACTAGTGATAGAATTTTTTTTCTCTTGTATAAGTTCCATTTGATACAAGTTTACCTACTTGATATTTAAAAATTAATTAATCAGAATAATTGAATTAGTTTAAAGGAAAAATTAATACTATTGGAAATGATAATTACTAGAGAATATTAATTTATATCTAAAATAAAAATAGTCTAGTTTAGATATAAAAAAACTCTTTCCTACTTCTTCTTCTATCCTTGAAAATTTTCTTTTTAAAAAATTTTTATGTTGTTTTCTTTTTTTGCTTTTTCTTTTTTCCTAATATTTTTTTCTTTTCTTTTTATTTTTTTCTTTTCCCTTTTCATATTTTTTCTTTTTTTTTCTATAAACTTTTTTTTAATATCCTTTTTCTTTTCTCTTATTTTTTGCCTTTATCTACTGAAGTTAGGTTTTTTCTTCTTCATAAAGTTTTTCCTTTGATGATATTTTTTTAAAAAATATTTTTAATTTAATTTTAACATATTAAAAGATAAATTTTAAATTTTCAAATATTTAATACTTTCTCTAAAGTTAAGAATTTGAATAGTATAAAGTTATTTTATGATTGTTTTTGTTTAAAATATTGTTTAAAATTTTATTTTGTCTTTATTACATTTCAAGTTAATAATATTAAAGAATTACAAGATTGTTTTAAAAAACAATATAATAAATCAAACATTTATTATATATCATAATAATACATAATATTGTTAAAAAATAAAATACAAAGGATCCATTTGAACCAGCAGTACAATACAATAGTATTGTAATAAAAAATTATGTAATAAAGAGTTGTAAACTTACAAAATAAAATAAAATAAAAAAATTATACAGTGTATTAGATTATTTAATTCGAATAATTGTAATCAAATATTATATAATAGGAAAGAATTGGGAAAGTACCCTAGATAATTATTTTTACTGTTCTTTTAATTGTAAGAATTGTTTCAACTCATGTATTGAAAAAATGTATAAAGGAAATAAAAAGGAAAAGAATAAAGCAGTGAATTTATTTTACTTAATCACCTATCCCACCGACGATTACGTGAAATTCCGCCCCATTTTAGCAACAATATATTGCAATTTTATTATCCCAAAAAAATGGTATGGAAAATTGTATTTACAGTATTTTTTTTATTTTATTTTATTATATTCGTACCTTTTGTGATTACGTAATTCATAATTGGCGTATACATTATATTAAATCAGGAGCCGATATAAAAGATTTTGATTTTTTCTCACGATAATTCCTGCTACTTCGTAAAGAAACTTCTTAAAAATGGATATCCGCATTTATTTTTTGAAATCTAGATATGAAAATTTTTAAAACCGGTTCAAAATACTGACTAGGTACGCATATTAAAAATACATAATGTAGATCGCGTTCACATTTAATTAAATGGGACGTGTATGTGTATAGTCGACGAGATGGGATCTATCCATCGACATGAAACACTCCGAATGATATTCATCCATTGAAAATGAGATTTATCGTAGATCCGATTCTCGCCCGTCCTGTGTCTTGTGATTGTAGTAGATCAATACTTGGAGATAACTTATAAATCTTTTCAACGTCCTTATGTTTATTTCTATAATTGATACTGGCTGTTCACGTTTCGTAAACTTTATCTCCTTTTTGATAGTATCTGTGTTCCTGACATGAGATCGTGAATAAAATGAAAGAAAGTGTGTTTAGGGGCGGGATGATCACGGTCATGATAGCGTGAAATTACATATATAAACCTTGTCGCGGTTCATTTCTTTGTTAAAAATACAATTCACTGGCTTGACTACTTTCACCCTTCTTTTGATACCGTTTGGCATTTATTTCGCTGTCAAGCATCCTATGTATTCAGCCTGAACTATTATTCCATCCATTCTCAAGTTTTTACGATCATTGTTTATAATTGTCTATAAGACATAATGTTGTCGCTTTTTAAGCTTGGTAGCACCAAGAATGTTGATCAAAAACATGAAAGAATTTCTCGTAATTTCGGCTTACCCAAAGACACATATGAATCCTATGAATCCCACGATTCTCGTAAACGATCAGATAGGTTCAATACTCATCCCATGAACAATCACGCGACCAATTTAAGTCGACACATTTCTAATAGTAAAGAACAAAATCGACACAGAACAACAGAAAAAGCTCCGAAAACGTTTAATAAATTTGAAGCCGAGAAAATTGAGTTCCTGAAAGAATTCGCTATGCAATACGGTTATAACGGAAAGATCGATTCGATACGCGAGAATGAATATCCTCAGTTGAAGGGTACGTTGGGTTTATTTAGTTTACACGTTTCTCTTTGATCATGTCTTAATCTCACCATCACCATTTTCCAGGGGCGGTCTACTTAGATCATTCCGGTGCTACCACTTACGCAAAATCCATACTCACCTCCTACCACTCCGACCTCACCCGAAACCTTTTCGGCAATCCTCATTCCAACAATCCAAGTTCCTCGCTCACATCTCACCGAGTTGAGCAGGTTCGTTTGCGCATTCTCCAACACTTTGATGCCAATCCTGAAGATTATCAGGTAATATTTACCCCAAATGCCACAGGCGCCATTAAGGTAGCGGGTGAGATGTTCCCATGGACCAATAAGACGAAGTTTATGTATTTGAGGGAGTCACATAATAGCTTGGTAGGATTAAGAAGATATGCCGAGGAGTTTGGATCAAGGATTACAGATTCGGTAGACGAAAATAGAGTGGATGAAATGATTAGTGAAGGTCATTATGATGATCAAGACGAAGATGAAGATTCGGAAACAACATACAACCTATTCGCCTATCCAGCCCAATGTAATTTCTCGGGTCAAAGATTTCCACTAACGTGGACAAAAAATATCAAGAAAAAGCTGAATACCAATAAATCAAAATATTTGGTATTGTTGGATGCCGCAGCTTTTTTGACATCTTCAATGGTATCATTGGCTGATAAGGAAAATTCACCTGATTTTGTGGTAATGAGTTTTTACAAGATATTTGGCTTTCCCACGGGGTTGGGAGCTCTAATAGTGAAATCGGAATTGGCTCCAATCCTTAAAAAAAGGTATTTTGGTGGTGGAACTAGTACGTATATTTCATACGCTATTTGAACTTCGCATATAAATGAATTGCCTTATCAACGTTCCCATTGTATAATAATAGTACAAGCAGTAGCATATGATCGTCCATGGCAAAAATTCCGCACCGATCTCAGCGAACGTTATGAAGACGGAACCATCAACTTTCTAGATATCATATCTTTGCAACATGCATTCACCGTAACCGAACGAATATACACCAGCTTTCGTTTGATAAAACCACACGTCACTTCACTGATCACCTATTTGGATCGTCGTATGCGAGCCCTCAAACATTGGAATGGCATGCCCGTGGTCGCTATTCACAGCGATCATGATTATTCGGACAACGTAAGACAGGGACCGGTGTTTAACTTTAATGTGCGAAAGCCAGACGGAAATTGGGTGGGATACGGTGAGGTTGAAAAGATGGCCAGCGTTAACGGGATACACTTACGATCCGGTGGGCTTTGTAATCCAGGATGCGTATCAAGATGGGTCGATCTTTCGCCCGATGATGTCATTCATAATTATAAGGTGACATATATATACATGCTTACATATCTATTTTTCATGCTTAATTGTACTTGTATTCATCCCACTTCTTCATCGAAATGTTAATAGCTTGGAAAGATTTGTGGAGATGACAAATATATCTTTAATAATAAAATTCAAGGCGCCATTCGAATCTCTCTTGGGGCAATGACAACAATCGATGACATACTCACGTGGTTGCATTTCTTCCAGAGTTACTACGTCGAGACTGCTTCGCCAGAACTCGTTCCGGAAAAACATACGACGCCAAAAACACAATTTTACAAACAAGATACGTACAATTCGCAAATTGAATTAAAAGGAAGCCGAACCGTCATTAAAAGCAAGAAACCAAACGTTTCTTCACCGAACCTTTTATTGCAATTACATGAAGATATGGTATTAAAGTCACAACAGCAGGAGAAACTACTAGGAGATAATCGGAAACAATATAGGCGTAAACAGGTCATTTCACGTGTATAAAATTTTCGACTGGATCTATTGTTCAAGGCTCTTTTTTTTTGGATAGCGACAGCGAATGCCAGCGGTATTATTGAACACTTTTGTAGACTTGCGAATGATAATGAAACCAATAACCTTACTAGTAGGCAGGCCCTTGAAATTAGAGGTGCCGAGGTTAATTTCCAGGATTGAACCACGGCATATTCACATTAATACATAATATTAATATAAATATTTTATCCTTATATAAAAAATAAATAAATAAAAAACACAAAAATTAATGTAATAACATAAAGTGAATTTAAGAAGTACAATTAATTTGTTTGGGTGCTAAATTCGATGTCAACTAAAAAGATTTGTATCCTTTAAATGTTAATGCTACAAACAAAGACGTGACTTATTAAAACAGTGAAATTTCCCAAGAAGTGTTTTTTTAGGCTTACCGAGATCTCACAAGAGAAATGCATTTGATAACAGATATTAGCATTTTGGTAGGCCACAGCGTCTCTGACATCTTATACTTTAAAAACTCACGGAATCTATAATGTGCAAGGGCCATCATGATTCGTGCAGTTTTTGATCTGTTTTACGTGACATCTGGTTCACCATTCAACCTAATTTTTTCATACTAGTCTTCTCTTGACTATCCCTCTAGTCGTGTTCCTTGAGATTACAAGTGTTCTACATACATTTCAAAAGTAACCACCGATCTTAAATTTTAAAAATCTGTTTCTTTATTATCTCAACATTATTTATTCATGAATCAACTAACTGTTCCGAATGTTACTTCTATTTATATGCTTTGGACGCGTATACCTTACAGCAATTACTCAATTATTACATCATTTTTCTAACTTTCCGCCATTGTTACGCGACGCGTCATCATGACGCGTACCCACTCCTGATTTTACCCACAACATGTAAGAAAGACATGGAAATGCGGATTCCCAGATGGACAGAGGTGAACGCCTTGACCTTTTATAACATTTCAGATATTACTTACCAAATCGTGCATTATTTCACGTAATTTTATTAAACGCGTCGTTGAATTCGATTACAAAATTACAAAATGCATATAATCACATATCTGCTCGCGAAGGTGTCATAAATCACGTGCCTATCATTTTTGATGTGCTGCAATTACGCGTTCTTTCTTCTCAGTAAGCTTTATTGTTATGAATTCACGCGTTCTCATAAATTTCTTCGTTTTTTACAAAGCTTTTCAATTATGCATTTACTTTTCATAGTTCAGCTGATAATGTCTGCATAAATTTTGTCTTTACGGATTTTACATTGTATGCTAGGTTTTTGTCATTTTAACCAATATCTATGAATTCTCATTTCATCATTTGAAGCAAATCCTTAGTTGTTGAAGACTAAAACCAAATTGGAATGACCAAATTCTTAGGATCAAGTTATTCATGCACATCACAGCCAATTATCTCATCGGTTATTTTTAAACCAAAAGAAATATATAATTACTTGCATATTTAAAACCGGGGAGGGTAAGCACTTGACGCGCCCCACGATAAATGTGACTTACTGTACGATCAACTCTTTTCAACGATACACTGCAGGGGAAGGGTGGTGATGGCGAATTGCGACTACGCACGCGATCAAGCGCACTTTGACATAAAAGATCTATCCGATTTTGAGTTCTACTCCCGGGAGTCTCTCGGCAGTAGCTTTGGTTTACCCGAAAAAAATCTGAATAGACATTGCACCTTTGTCGAGTTTATGGTAACACGAGTCCGTCATCCAATTTCTTTTAAGCACAATATTCATTAGGGCACCAGGTCACCACGAATTCCATATATTTAAATGCATTAACTTTAATGCAAACGACCAGAGATAAGGATCCTCGTTCTTTCTCGACTTTTACTTTCAGTCATTTGGCGGTGGTGTCAGTCATGAATGGACTGAAATCCAAAAAATTGTTCAAGAAAAAATGCAAATGGGTGTTAAATAGATTTCTTGCCTGCAATGGGTCAACCTTTAAAGATCTTAATCCCTCTGTACATCAGCATTGTCATTGGTTTATTAACAGACAAAGAAAACTGCTTGGAAAAAAACCATGTATGACACATTATGACATATTTCCTTTATTGCGTAATTGCAGTGCGGTCGTGCCACCTCCGATTTCATATAAATATTGATCTGGATCAACACAAAAACTTTAAAAGTATTAAAAATTTTTAATTTGGTAGTGTAAAGAAGCGGTTTTTTTTTGTAAACTCTCAAGTTCCGCAAATATTTTCAAGTAAGCCAAGATTTCTCTTGTTCGGGAAGACTAAAACTGTCAAAATTTAAAGAAAAGGGTACTTGCTTGTTTCTTTTCCTTTACTCATTCGTTCCACCTTTTTTACCTTCGGTAGCGTGAAAACCCTAAAATTTCTTGGAAACCACGATTGCCCTATCTCCCGTACCGAAGAACGCTCAAAATAGCAAACAGCATGGCCGCGGAGCTTAATAGCACGAACGAAGAGGGCATAAGGATCGTGCGTTCCATGCCTGAAACTGGTATAATAATCGCCTTTTGCGAAAAGTTCAAGTCTTTCATGAAAGGAATCGACTTTTGGCCGGAGGTATGTTTGATTGGACAAGGGCTTGCGTCAATTTTTATAATTGATGAATCAGTTCACCTACAAAATGACGGTGCTTAAATTACCTTATAAATTCGGTGTATTTAGGAATTGGAGCGAGCGTTGGTTGATCAAGGCGAGAATGATTTGATAGAGCAATTGCACTGCACCTTTTTGTCCAATTGCTTAAATCGAACGAAACAAGTCGCGTAAGTCGAATTCTATTTTTAAAGTCAGATGGACCATCGGTTAGTTAGCATTATTTTGATATGCATGTTTAATTTGCGTTAACCTCCAATTACTTCAATTATCTTTTCGCAATAAATATATAGTCGACAGTCATGGAGAAAATTGTTGTCCGACACCATTGATCAAAAACTAAAAAAGAGTTACCAATTTTATCAAGATTTTAATCCTCTTCGTAGGGTAAAAAGTTATTACGAACTGGATGTCAAGGACAAGGTAGGATGTTTGAACGTCGACCTAATTTTTTTTGATCGCGATTTTTTTTTGTCTTCATCCGTATAACCATCTTGCCATTACGATTGTTTTCAAGGTCTTAATTTTGAATAATCTCATAAATTGGCAATTACAAGATAGTAAAGACATTCGCAGGTTGATAGAGGAGGAATACAGGAATGCCAAGAAAAATCAAGAAAATGCGTTAGAGGTAGAACCGTATGGCGAAGATCGAAGAGGTCGAAAGTATTATTATTTTGGAAGTAAGTCAATTAATTCTATTGTTCGATTGATTTCGATTCCAAATGTGCATCTTGACTCATTTTCTTTTCATCAGAAGGCGCAAGACTATATCGTGAGAAGGTTTTACACGGAAAAGGCAATAAACCCGATAAATATACATTTGAAGCGATAACATCGACCATCGAGGATATAGAAAATTATGTTAAAGATCCCAAGGAGCTGAAGGCATCGATGAGAAAAGATAAAAAACTTTATAATAAACTGGTGGGCGAGCTTATACCCTCGATCAAGGAAGCCATTGAAGTAAGTGTGATCAATTTGCTATTCACATATAATTCCCTTGCGTTGCATCATCGTTTAATGAATGAGTCTTTGTTATCAATGTAGGCAAAGGAACGAAGAGATGCTAGAAGATTACGTCAAGAGAAATTTGCTCAGAAGGTGGCTCTGTTACACGCTAATTCAGAGATAGTTGCAAGCCGCACTCGCAGTGGTACAAGGAAAGCGCTTGGTCTAGAGCCCTATCAGAGATCCGCATCAACGATTTCCTCCGCCTCGTCTAACAAACCTGACGACGAATACAGCTATTCTTCCAGCACTCACATGACAAGGGCAAAATCAGTCCGTGATTATGTCAAACGAAAGTATCTTGAATCGTCAACTGATGATGAGGAAGAAAATTCCCACTATTCTGGAAGTCGTCGGTTAACTAGATCTCGGACCAGCAAAAGGTCGAGATCATCGACAGTCGAAATTATTCGTCAGGAAACCGATGACCTTGATTCACTTTTGAACGGGGTTTCCAACTTAAAAACGGAAAACGGAAAAGAAAGCAACGGAGTCTCGTTGAGTCGGTCAGGATCGATAAGATCAAATGCGACTCACTCCACCGATGCTACCGAATTATTTCGTGAAAATTTTGGTCCCGATTCGGAAACTTCGGTTTCAGAAAAAGTACCGGGTAGTGGCGATTACAAAGAAGTTTTTGGTACCGATTCAGGGAACGAGCTATCCGAACCATCATCCTCCTCAGACGAAGATGCACGTGACTCGGATAGCGACTTCAAGCTAAACGAGGACGGTTCTGAGGCGGAGGATGAGGCGTTACCTGAAAGCGACTAGGACGAGGGACTATTTGTCACTTTTGATATCAAATAATTACTGACTGTTCGCTATTGGCCCTGGATATAAACAAATAAAATTGAGAAATAATTCGCGAATATAAATTTTGTTAGTGCAACCTTGTTCAAAGAGAACTAGGGAAGGAATTCCTGCATTTTATTATTATTATTTTTTTTTTTCGAACACGATAGAGCAAAGATAACAGCCTTTGGATATGCTATTTTTCTTAGCGATGCGAATATTAAATTTGAAAGTCTGCCTTCCCAATACGATGAATATGATGAAGAATATTGTAAATAGTCAAGTTGAGTAGCTTAAAACTGCCACGTTGCCAAGACAAAAAAGAAAGTTTAAGTCTCTTGATGAACAAAAGATTACGAATAAAACAATAATCACAGAATTTTTCTTGTAAAAATAGTGTGGCATATGGTTGATGTTAAGTTGAAACTTTGTTATATTTGGTTTTTACGACAAATGTTTCAAAAGACGAATTACAGAGAAAACGTGATCATTCCTAGTTTAAAGGGATCCAATTATTTCATTCTTAAATGGTCACTTACGTGTTGTCGGAGTGATCTAGAGTTTAAATGAAACGAGCTTCATCAGGGGCTTGATCATTTTACAAATCTGTTCGAAGAATGAACCTTCCAAATATTCGAAGAAGCGAAAGGTTCACTATGAACGTAGAAAGAAAATTTCCAAGCCGCAATTGCACGCGAATATAATCTAGATTTCTTTATAAAATTGGACAAAATCTATTAATTTCTTTGCAAAAAAATTTTAAAAAAATTTCTAGTATGAATTTATTTTCCCAAGGTTTTTTTTTTTTTTTTAATTAATCAATCAAATTGTTTTCATCGTTAAATTAAAATAATTAAAGAAATCAACATACAGCTTTTGCGATTTAAATATAATTTAAGGATATTTTATTGAATTTATCAATAATGAATATTTGCTATATCAACTATTGTTAAATAAAAAACCACTATTTATCCATTGCATAAGTATGATTGTTGATATACGATATTCGAATAAATAAATTTTAAATTGCTCGATCAAAAATCGTAAGATTGCATTAATCAATCACCAAGGCATCAAATAGTAAATTAGAGCTATAATCATGTTGATGCTTTAATCATATGCATCCTCGCGAAACGCATAATCCAAAAACCATTATAAACCATATGATTTTTTTCAAGCTCTTTTTAAAAATCCAATATCTCGGAAAGTCATCACATAAAATATGGCAAAAGTACTTCTTAACAATGTTGCTACAATATTTCTCATATTAAGCTTTAATGTTGGAATTCAAATCTACGCAGTTCCACCACCTGAAGGATATCCAATCCCATATACCGAACCAATTAATAGATTCGTTCTTCCAGAACCATATGGTCCTACCGCCATCAAACAACCTCCTGTTCCCGATGCACTTTACGCTCCCGTTTCCCCGGCACCCGTCGATGTACCTCTAATGGAAGCACCGGTTGCTCCATTTGCTCAACCTTTTGAGCTTCCAGCAGTTGCGCCCGCAAGACCATATCCTGTCTCATCCAATAAACCATGCGCATGTCCCATTACACATGCCGCACCTCCGGCCGTGGCCCCCATGAATCAAATAGGAATTCCTTATAATGAACATCCTAATATTGGGGGGTATGGTGGTTATTGTAGTGATTGTGGCGGATTGCGTGGACTAAATGGGTTTAATGATGTTATTTGAGGATTTCGTGAACAATAGTTTTCTAAAAATAAAAAAAAAAAAAATTTTTTTTTATTGTGCATATCATGCAATTAAAAAGGGCGGTCAAAAATAAGATTAAGGTAGAAGGTTTACCTACGGTATTTATTAGGGATACAGTAATAGGTTTCGCGACGCGAAAACCATCATTGTCATGTGTTCAAATATTGATATATCACGTGTGAAAGATCGGAAATAGATATTTGTTTTTACTACGGTTCATATCTTGAAAAAGTTGTCATGTTACAGACAGCGAGAAAAATAAATGAACTTTATGTGCATATGATTTTTCCACGCAAATTGATCACAAGCGTCTGTCCTATACAAATCCAGTATAAATTCAACACCCAGGATATAGTATAAAAGAGATAAAGAAAGGACAAAGATTATCTTCACATGGGCATGAATGACCCACTATGGACGATCTATTGTGTATATAAACATGAATTTCCTAGACATTCCGATGCGCCCACATTGAGAATGTTGCGACGAAAGAGATATAATTTCAAAAGTTCGAACGAGTCA